TATACCTCATTATCTCATTCTGTAGGTCATCTAAAATGGATATTAAGTAATTCTGCCTCCTACAGCTTTGGTACGGAGCCAAGGAGAGCTAGGAAAAGAAAGATGCTTGACTTAAAAAAGAGGGCGCTTTTTATTTTCAGCACAGAAATGTGTTTTCACATGGCACGCTTCTTTCAACAGTTTTGTCATAGCTAACGAGACGCCGCAAGAGAGAAAATCATAACTCCCCAAAACACCTCCAGGCAGTTCAGCTGAGAGACAAGTTTCACTTCCAGAGCCCGAGACACTGGTACGCCATTATCGATAGGCAGCCCAGCACCCCTCAACGAGCATCATGGGCTCCTCTCTCTGAACAAGGATTTTGGGCAAGGAGTTCTGTGATTGTGATATCAGTAGACGGGTATTTAAATCAAAGCTTAATGAATATTTTCATACATCCATTGAGCTCCTCTACCTACAGTGTATTTGCAAGATTTTCAGTATCTTCTCTTACCCTAAGCCATTTTTATGCTCAAGTGTCCTTGCATTTGAGTTTGTGCCACTGCTTTCTAATCACCTTTCATTCCGAAGACTGCAGATTGGGAATGGTCGCAGCTGGGGGTGGGCCTCCTCAATCCCCTGTTGCCCGATGCTGACCTGTGGCCACAGCAGTGGGGGAGCACAGTGAGGGCATCTCACAGGCATCCAGCCGGCCGTAACCCAGCGCAGCAAGAAGCATACTGAGTAATAAACTACACAGGCTTAAGTCATGGCGCTTGATGAAATATGACCCTGTGGGACAACCCTGTGTACTGATCTACTCCGTCAGCCAACAAGTGGCCAGTCAATGATCCTGGAAAGATAATTACCCACCCATCAAAGCACACAGGCATTTTTGTCCCTGAAGTCAAAGGGGCAACCATCTCTACGGATGAGGCAAGCTGGGGTATTTTTAGCCTTGGAGCTGTTACTGCGGTGGATGTATTGGGGAATGGTTTCCTCCGGAGAGAGCTGCCAGAGACTTTATCCCTGCTTTTCTGTGTTGTTTTCCTTGTAAATCAGCTCTCTGACAGAAAACATTACACTAACATGACCAGCCCAAATACTCAACAACAAAACTCCTAAAAAGTCTTACTCAGACAGTCTCCTCCATCTATCTGACCAGCTGAGTAAACTTGGAGAAGTAACTAATGACTTGCATACACATACACAGGAAAATATTTGGGTTTAAAATAAACCCCCAGAATACTGTAACCCTCAGTGCTTTACGTTGCAATGACTTTCAACCCCTAATCAGGTATTTCTGTCAGATGAAATTAATGACGCCAGCAAGCAAACACACACCATGTCTTGCACACCTAAACCACTGCGCGTTCCCTGTGTGGGCTCCATTCTGAATAATGAAAAACTTCAACCCTACCGAAAGGCTTTCTGTTTCGGAAGGAGAACGCCAAGTCAATCTGTTGGCAAGCCTACGCAGGCTCTGTGCCTTAACACCCCCAAACCATCTCAACATCTCACCCCAACATTCATTATTAAATACTGTTCTGTGGGCGCATACAAATCAGCAGTGTGAAAAGAGATGACCCAACAAGGGAGATGGGGAACATCTCTATTACCAGAGACGTTAATCCTTGTATAATTGTACCAGCAGGAAAATGTGTCCCTCCTGAAGACACAGGGCATGGGCCAACAGCCGGAGAACCTGAACTCAAACAGCATCCAACAGGAAGGAAAATTCCAGCATTTGACAAGTGCGGGTGATCTCCAATTTAGGCTGGGAAGTTTTCTGTGTCGAGTACTATCCGATGGCAAATGTACTCTTTACTTTGAAACGCCTGCGAGTCCAAAGTGAAATTACGCCAATTTTTTCCTAATTCCAAACTTCATTAAGTTGATGACTGCTGGTACAGGGCTAAGCCTGGGAGGCTCATGTTTTTCTGAAGTAACATTTTCCTGTACAGTCTATTTTCTATTACAATGACTGGATTGTAGAGCTGAAATGAATGTCAGAATTGTTTGCTGGATACATTACCAGATACCTTCTTTTCTGAAGCCCAGAAACAGAAATTAAGTTTGCAACAGAGATAATTTTTGGTTTTCTGAAGCAAAGGTTTCATATCATATAGAACATTCCCAGACAGTGATTTGCATTATGCATTTTTCTCACTAGGTATCCTCCCAAGCTTATTTGTACAAGGGAATTTCCACCTAAATTGCCACATATATTTGTCCTGCAGATTTTGAAAATTACATTTTGAGAAAATAAAAGCATTTGGAAATAACCCTTCTTCAAAGCCAAAAGATTTAACTCTGTGAGGAGGTGGGGTTACGTATGAGTCGGGGGAGGTGAGGATGCAGCAGGCCGGTGCGGTACCCTGTCTCCAAGGATGGTCAGCAGAAATGAGAGGAAACCAGGTCAGCTGAGAAGTGTCCTGCCCTGGCCAGCCCGCTGGTGGTGGTGCCAAGGGGCAGAAACCAGGCTGAGCTATGTCCCACCAGCCCTGTGCCATGCATCCTGGTCGCTCACGTGGTTAATTTCCTCACGAGGACCTGGGTGCCAGAATTTCTAAGAGGGATCAGCTCCTCTGTTTGATATTCCCAGCCAGACAGTGAGAAGCATGTCAAACATGCATACATATTTACATGCATTTACATATGCATACAAAATTGTATGGGCATGGAGGAGGGATATATTACGGCAGCTAGATTAAGCCATGTCCCTTTAGCTCCTGGGCACCCTGCAGGACTGATTTCAATGTAAAATACGCTCTGCCTCCCAACGAGGAAGGCTCTGGCTCTTCTGCTCTGCCAGAGAAGAAGTGGGAAAAGTTTTGGGGCTCTCTTCTCCTGGTAGCACTAGGTGCCAGTCCCATCCCAGGGGACATCCCTGATCCAGGCTGTGAGTATCTTGCTGTGTGCTCCTCTGCAATCCACCCGGATCCCCATGGATATCAAATACCAAATGTCTCCACACCCAAACGTCTTGCTGCAGCTCTAGGGGAAGACTAAAAGCAGGCTTAAATATATACAGCATTTCTCTATGGATGTGCGCAGGAAAGAATTCTCCTGAAGGGTTCAAACTTGATGAACCAAAGCTGCGTTTTTCTGAAGACAAGAAACTAGAGACTAAGGAACTAAGGGGGAGAAATGCTAGGTTCC